TAACATATATATGTATATATATATATATTTTTTGTTTATATATGTACATAATTTAGTATATAAAAATACACATAGTATATATATACTATGTGTATACAGGGTATACAGGGTACTCAGTCAAGTAATTCAATTTGTTATTTTTCTCCTTTTCAGGTCTTTCCTATTCACTTTATTTGTTTTTTGCTTTTAACAATCGCAGTTTTTGTTTGCGATTTCGACAATTTACTACTATTTGGGGCCAACTTGGGCTTCCCCTGGGTCAGGGGTGGCTATCCAATACAGTGGAGCACATGTTGTGCATCTGCATGTGGTGTGCACTGTGGCCAGCAGATGCAGGCGAGAGTGCATACCGTTAGCATCTCCACATAGCAGATGAGAAAAGAAGAAAAATACTGTTGAGCAAATCCAAGTTTTCTTAGCTGAGCTTAGAGTTCAGTTATTCAGTTTTTTATTTTAGAAAATATTCCACTGTCACACAAACAGAGAGAGAGAGAGAGAGAGAGAGAGAGAGGTGTGTCTGTGTGTGTAGCTGGGCTACCTGTGACGCTTTCCGCTCCCAATTCACATCCGTCGACTGTTTGGGGCGAGCCGCGGTTACCCTTTGGCCACACAATGCGGCAGTTTTGGCGGTGCCTGTGGCATGGTCAGCTCTATAGATGTATATATATGTGTGTGTTGGTGAGTGGGCTGCTGGCTGTGAGGGTGGTAAGCGTGGTAAGTGACTATTGTTTTTCCAGTTGGCAAGGACTAGCGCGCAGTCAATCTAGCAACACTGCCATTTACGGGGTCAGTCACATTGCTCTGTGGCTGGCCCAGCCGTATGGCATAGCTGCTAATGGATGCATTGCAGCTCCTTCTCCAGCAGTACTACAAACAAATGCAGCTGGCAGGCAGTCGGGCAGTCGGGCAGTCGGGCAGCCAGTCAGCCAGCCAAGAGCATTCGAACGAATTAATGACGCGTTCAGCGAATCGGCAGCACTTAAAGACGCCGCTGTTGGGCAGCTTTAAAATCTGATTGGGTGGCATGGGTGGCTTCCTATTAAGTGCCAGTCAGCGCTTGCAGCGTAATTATGCCTCATGGTCGTGTGCAGTGCGCCCCCAGCTGCCACGACTGCCAAGGACTGCCTCGGCTGCCTTGGCTATTCTCTTTAATGCGAGTTCAATTGTTGTCGCTGCCACAATTTGTTGCAAGTACGGGCATTCCATGCCATTGCTTGGCAACCTGGCAAACTGGCAAACGGCAAGTGCATCGCTGGTATGTAAGCACTTTCAATGATATTGTTAAGCGGCTTCAGCTAGCTCATTCCCATAACCAGGCTAATTGGTTTAAGCGTCTTACGTCGACTTACGAATAATGCAGCTCAGCCATCCGTCAGCCAGCTGAGCGCCACTCACGTCAACAGCTGTCAGCTGGCACTCGATGGCATCTTCTCTAATGCGGCACAATTACATTCATTGACACCTGTGTTTTATGTACTACTTTGTACTATTTGTTAAATATATGTATTTGTATATGCATATATAGATAGAGTCAAAGTTTCCATCGAAAGTATATTTTCTGTATCATAAATAGAAAGAGTTTAAGTTCTTTAGCTCTTAACAACCTTTCAATCGTTCTCATTTTAGTAAAGAGTATATATAATACGTATATATATGTATATACGCTAATTGAGGCTTTGAAATATTATACCTTTTTATTAGAGTTTACGTACAGGAAAGAGCATCAGCTTAGAGTTTGATCCATATGTCAAGAGGTTATCAACTCGCCTGCATGTGAAACAGTAGTAGCTAAGAGTATATACATAGACTACATTGAGTAGAGTGGTTGCTGGTGAGTGTACAGGTTGTGTAGGTCATAGTAGCAGCTAAGAACCTGAGCCATAGTGGGAAGAGTACTGGATAAGGACCTGAACAATATAGGAGAGAGTAGCTGCAAGTGTGTGAGTGATACAGCTAAGAACTTGACCCACACTGCGAAGTGAATGAGACAAGAGGTGCCAGCTTTAGCTAAGGGCCTCTGGTAAGAGTATGACATACCTCATATCATGTAGTTATATAGGATGAGTATCAGCTTTGAGTTTGCTTCACA